TTTGCCCAGCGGGACAGAAGATGGAGGTAAGGTCTGTTTTAGGCTGGTCAGGTACCTTCTGATTAGAGGCGCCAATGCAAAATGAGCGGGGTGGGCAGGGGAACGAACAGGCAGACAAGAATTGCACCTTGTAACTTTGGCGGTTTTGGAGGATGCTAACTTCAGATGGTAGGTAGGTAGTTAGCGTGGCTCCGCCACTGGTTGCGTGCGTTCGCACGCACGTACATAGTAAGTACACTACCTAAGATACATTAAGGTACTACATGCTCGCTCACACGCAGCCGCAACAGTAACAGTACAGCAAGACCAAAAGAGTTTAGAGACAGAGGGTGTCACTCAGCTCACACTGGTGTGTCTCCTGCCTTCTGTCTTCTGCCACTTTTCTTCTTTGCTTGCTTTGCTTTGCTTTGCGCTTGCCTTCCTCTTCCGTCTCAACAACGGCCCTTTCTAGAACCTCGGACGATTCATCATGACATCCTCCTCCTGCCCCTCATTCCTTTAGCCTTGCAGCGAGAGCATCGACATCCCGAACCCACAGCAAGCGGGCTGTCCAGGTCCATCATGCAAAACGGCACCGACATCTGTCAGCAAGAGGAAGGAGAACCACGCTCGTCGATTGACAAACCTCCCATTCTTACTCCAGATCCCGCTTTTGATCGACTGCCCGACGAGATCATCCAACAGTCGGTCCTCACTGCTGTCAAGCTTGACTCTATCGTCCGTCCACTGACATATGGCCCTAGGATTCTACAGCTCACTGACCCCGACTCCTTTGCTTCTCTTATCCTCCTCAACTCGAAATGGCGATCCGTATCCCAGCAGGCTCAACTCTATGCCCTCCACCTTTCCAGATGCCAGTCCTACTCCTCGAGTCATCCTCCCCTCCGCGAAGCCGACGTCAAGGATGAAGACCTGCCGCGCCTGAGACGCCTGTTCGCCAGAGAAGTCAAGCGCAACCTCTTCGAAGCATACCTGCGGCCGCGCGAAACCGTAATCAAGCTTATATCCAACTCCATAAGCTCGTCGTCATGTCCCGGCGGCGAAGGAATGCAGTTCAGCCCGTCTCCCCGCGGTCACCATGTTCTAGCTTACAACTCATCGCGCGTCTACGTCCTCGACGTGCGTGGAAAGGATATACAAGTCAAGAGGGAATTCAAGATTCTGCGTCGGCCCGTTTCCATCTGCATCAAGGACGATGGCTCCATGCTGGCTGTCCTGTCTTCCGAGATGCAGGTAGACCTCTACGACCTCGAGCAGTCACCGCCTCGTCGCACCCAGTCCTTGATCTTGGATAATCCACCGCGCACCATTGCGCTCTCTCCTTGTGGTTCCGTTCTCGCTGCTGCTTACGAAGGAGGCATCGAGGTATCCTTGGTCAACCCGGGCGCCCTACCCACAGACAGGAGAGCGGTCAAATGCGATGGAGTTGACGCCTTGTCCTTTTCATTTGATGGTACTCAGATTCTGGGAACCACCATTCACTCGTCGCCGCCGGCCACCGTCATTTTGACGGCCCCTTACTACGACCCTGGCAACCAAATGGCCGATGATAGCATCAGCGCGCTCTGGACTACGTCGATCCTATTTCCTAACACGAGCCGCGATTGCAGTCATGCCGTGCTTCTGCAAGACTCGGGCCAAGAGGAAGCGAGCTGGACCTTTACTTATGACCGCAGCTTCGAGACCTTCAGAGCTGTACGCATTGACGATCTGCGGAACGGTACAACCTACTTTACGGGACCAAAACCCGACCCAGGCTCGCAGGCCAAGCTTACTCCCTGCACTCTGCCTGCGGCCACCTTTCGCGGAGACCTCGTTAGTGCCGGATTCCAGGGGAAAGATATCTGGCTGTACGGTGTGCCGGAAGATCTCGATGCTGTGCCCGAGGTCAACAACTCGGGGCCTGATGGCTTGCCGGCCTTGGCCGGACAAGGACGAAGAAGCAGCGGGCCTCCGTCGCGTTCGTCATCATCTCGGGCACAAGAAAATCCTCGGGTACCACAGTGGCAAGTTTTATGCGACAAGCTGAGAAACACCTTCGTCTGGGGCGCCAAGATTGCAGAGCTTGATGGTGTCAGCACAGTGAAATGGGTCGCTGGCTTTGGGGAGACATCGATACAGGAGCGTCTGGTCGTCGCAGCTCGCGGCATCTCACCTGGGAAATCTATTGTCGAAGAGGACGACATTGACTTCATCGACGGCGGGAGACTCACCCTTCTTGACTTCGATTACAGCCTTGACGATGGCCAAAGGACAGAAATTGAGATCGAGGTGGGGACGAAGAAGCCAGAGATTCTCGAAGAGGAGCAGAGAGATTTAGACGCCGAGGTGGCCATCGTACGCCGCAGAACAGTGGCTCAAAGGCGAGGAGATCGCGGCGCCTTGATGCGTGCCGCTACGAGTGCGGCCATTCGGGGAAATCCCTTGCCCCCGATGCCTTCTATGCCTCCCGTACCACGGCCAAGAGCGGAACCCGAAGCCAGAATCAAAGAGAACGATGACGATGACGACGATCCGCTCGTTCCGAGACGCATTGGGGCACCGCCGCAGACGAATGCTCAAGAGTCCATCTCGTCTGCAGCTCCACAAGCAGGCGAATCTGCTTCGATGATTGAGGAGGAGGCGGCCGAGGAAGCCGTGGAAGCCCCCTACTCTCATGATGGGCCCCGGTCTACCAACACTCTGCGTCGTGCAGCCACCGCTGTCGCCATAAATCGAAGCCGCAATCCTCAAGCCCCAGCTGCCGGACTGGTAGAGTACCGGCGGGCGGATGGTCGGCGCGAGCACCCACACGAAAGTGATGCAGATAACTGGGTTCCACCACCACCCCCGTACCAGAAAGATGACCCGGGTGACTTGCCCGCATTCCTGCGCAACGCTGTCATCACGCCTGGGGGCGTGCAGATTCAAAGCCAGCCGGCCCGGATTCAAACAGCCGCGCCAGCCGTGGGGGTACCGGCTTGGCCCCTTCCAGAACGGCCGGCCCTTGTGCAGACATCGGGTCGTCCATTGAGTTACCACGAGCCTGTTACCAGCCCGCCGGCGAATTCGATTCATCATCTCCGTATTGCTAGCGACACGACGCTGTTGAGCCACCCGCGCACCGCAGACTCGGCCAGCCCAATGTTCAGTCCTCCTGCTGACGTTGACGCCAATGACGATATCTACGATGTCTCGCCACCGGAGACACCCTGCGTAGCTGCAACAAGGCCCAGCGATGCTGATGCCATTTCACCCGAAGGCCAACGCATGGCCGGCGAGTCGTTGGCGGCTCAGGCATCTAACAATGACGCCCTGCAATATTCGCAAGCAGTACCACTAGAAGATTCCCCCGTTGCCTTGGCAGCGTTGCAGGCCCAGTCACCTCCGTCCTTGGGGCTGCAAATACCGTCGAGTATGCCTCCGAACGCTGTGGCGCAATCGCAGCCTCAACCTGCATCCGCTGTCGATGCACCATTGGTGAGGCGTCTGTCCAACGCGCAAACGTGGCCAAGGTCTGCTCAGCCGCTGGACGGTCCTCACCTACATCCAGAGAGCGTTGCTTTGAGTAGCTTCCCATATTCTGCTCCTCCGACTAACGCAAGGGCTGATGAGATGATGGGGACCGTGTTATCGGTTCCTCCTGGGTCGAAACAACCGGTTCGTCTCCAAGACAATGAACAGCTGTCCTCATCTCGGCCCTGGTCTGGCAACTTCAGCTCGGTTCAGCGTGTCCCGGTTGGCAGTCGCAGGCCTGGTTCTCGCCGAGCATCTGTACCACAACCCACCATGCAGCCTGGGCTGCAGGTGGAGGTGCCAGAAAGCCTATCGCTTGAGGACCAGCCGCTGATCATAAGTACGCCTAATGGCGTGACGGGGGCATACGACGCGCCTACGCGCCAGCAGTCGAACCGAAGAAACGAAATGCCATTGTTGGCTCCCATTCCACGTCACCCGCGCCCAACTCAGTCAGGGCCGCACGTAGAACGCCTGGAGACCATCTACAGTGACCATACCAACGCGGAGGCATCTGGCAGCAGGAGCCTTGTCCCGGCGTGGTTGCAGGCGCCATCAACGCCATCTGCGGGTCGACACTCACACTCATCGGTCAATAGAAGGCCCAGTCGTGCTGAGCGAAGTGCAGCCAAGAACATCAAAGATGCCAAACGACGGGGCTGGAACGGTGCAAAGAAGAAGACGAAGAGCAAAAAGGTTGATCACGAGGTTGCCAGTTCCGCTGCGTGGACGGATGTTTCTGCGGCTGGCAGAAACGGAACCGATGGCAAGTCAGAAAAGGATAAAAAATGTGTTGTCATGTGAAATTATTGGGAACTCCAAATGGGCAGGTTGGTGTGCCTTCTACTTTTTTTTTGCGCTTTGAGTGCCTGCCTGTATCTTCATGATGGGAAGTTTAGCATTGGAGTTCCGGTATGGAGGATCGCGTTTGGTAGCTAATTTGGATGCCTTTTTGATCTGGACCATCAAGGCAAGGGGGTTAGACATGGGAAGGAAAAGGGCCAGGGTGTGCCGTATTTACGTACATACATGCTCTCACCTGTGCTGGAATATACAGAACAGCCGCAGCTATTCACTCGCTTGATACCAATAGAAGGCTGGGCATGCATTGATCTCTGATAATAAAATTCTTTGCCCTGACTACCTCGCACAACACGAATGGACTTTCAATTCCCATGTTGCCACTCCGTACCAGAATGTACCGTTGCACCTGGCAATCCCAACGCTGAACCACGAGTCAGAAGGCCGTCTTGCGTTGTATCCTCGTTCGACCCCCGATGCTGCGGCATGACCAGCGGTACAAGTTTTTCGATGATAGTAAACGCTTCGCAACTGAAACGACGTGAGATCAGTGGAAGGCGTTTCGTGAGTAGCTGGGTCGATGCCGAGGCGGCGTCACGGAGAGAGGGAGGTTGTGCAAGGTACCGTTACGAAAGTGGGGAGGGAGGTTGACCAGATTCCCACAGCCCTACTTAGAGCTTAACTCATGGATTATTCCCCAGCAAGGTAACTTGGCCGAGCGGTCTAAGGCGCCAGACTCAAGCGCAAGCTTCGTCCTTCTAAAAGGACGAGTATTCTGGTCTCGCAAGAGGCGTGAGTTCGAATCTCACAGTTATCATTTTGCTGTCGCCTACCAAATCTCAAAACTTTTTCTTTTTGCGCTTCCTTCTTTTGCGACGCATTCCCGGACAGATCCTGGTCGGTTGCTCGTTCTGCTTTCAACCGTGCACAGGGGGGGGGGGGGGGGAACCCGAATGAGAAATGGTTGGTTTAAGAGGCTTGATTCTGTGCGCCTTGGTATCCCATGTACGAGGAAATTCTTTGGCCTCGTTCACTATAAGTTTATCTGGGTATAAGAAGCCTGACTTCTCGTTACGTGACTGGCATGAGGAAGTATAGAGCTGCCAAGGTGGGGCCGTGAATCACACAAGCGTCTTGGTCCCAATGCTCTCTTTCTGTTGAACGTGGACGTCTTGGTTCCTGGAGCCACAGTCTTTCGTGGAAGCAGGCCGACATACCAATGCTTGGCTCCATCGGGCCACCCCTCACATAACTTGATCCGGCAACACCGCGCGCAGACTGCAGCCGGCGCAAGACATCAGATGAACGAGATCTAGGTTGGGTTGATCTGACCTAACTAAATACACCTTCCCATCAGACCAAAGCCCGAATCCAGCTTTGTTCCTAGCTCCCTCGACATGCGCGGCACTCATCCCCCCCTCCTCCCTCATCTGTTCCTGCGTCCGATAACCAGCCCATCGTCGGCCATGCCACGCGGAGCCCAAACCTCGGCGTCCTCGACACTGGTCCAGGGTCCAAGGTCCTTCGTTCTTCTCACCCCAAGCTGGGCAGCTGGAGCGTCATCTTCAGAGGTAAGGACCGACTCGGCCGAGTCTGTCTAATCGGCAGCTCCGGTTCGTCCACTAGGTACTTTCAGCTGCAGAAGTCCTCGTGCAGGGACGGCTCTGTTAACTGTAGAGAGGCTGTCTGGAAGACGCCGCCATAGCCCACGAACCTGGCAGAGCTGCTCCATTGGGCCCCTGGCCCAATGCAACAGATCCGTCTTGACGCCTTGGCAATTTTAAAGCACATCTGTTTCCTCCATTTCGATTCGAACAGGTATTGTGTCTCCACGCAACGTGGTCAATATGTAGTCAATCCTGAACGAAAAAGGGTCCAATGCGGCAATGCTAAACGAACGACAGCCATGCAAGTGGGCGCGGTCTGCGGTTCCTGCCTGAATAGATTACAACCTTCTCCGCCTCCCTTTTCCCTCTGCCAACTGTCTGTCGCTCGTTTGGCTTCTGTTTTTGCAACCCCCTGAGGCCCTTGTGCTCTCAGAGACGTGATGAAGGGAGGAGCTGCTGCCGCCATTGGTGGTATCGCCGCACTGGCGCAAGTCGTAGAGACCACGTACGTATGGCCCTCAAAATATGACGAGATTGAAGATATTCTCTCCTTGCAGACGGGGTACCGCAGCAGGGGCTTCGTTGAAGGTTCGTGTTCAAACCCGCCTGGACCACGTCTATAGCGCCGGATCTGGAGCTGACAAGAACAAAACCAGGCGTGCCGGAGCCGGACATGCAGCTCGACACGACTCGGAGCACGTTCGCCAAGGCCGGGGTTCGGCGAAACGAGATGATTACGCTGTTGGCTTGCGGAAACACGCTCGGCGGCGTCCACAGCAGGAACAGCCCGCACATCACAGACCTCGACCCGACGCCGGACACAGTGGCCAAGTTCGACGGCATGTTTGACGACTTTGACAACCGCATCGCAACGGAGTACGTCATGGGCAACACGACGAAACCCCTTGGTGATTGGGAAGAACGACACGCTCAGCTCGGACAAGCGTGTTTTTGCGTCGGATGGGAATAGGACCACCCAGGATCTGGGGCGTACGAGGGGCGGGTTCAAGACAGCGTGCGCTGACGTCTTCACGCGCATGATCGATACGGTGCCCTCGGCTGTACAACTGACGGAGCCGATCGAGGCCGTCGACATCAAGCCTTACGTGGGGTTGGTGCTGAGCGGGAACGGGAGCATTACGTTCAGCGGCCTGGTGCGCGTCAGAACAACGGGCGGCACTTGGCGTGACACAAACGATTTGGCTGTCCATTTGAGCTTCACAGACCGCAACGGCGAAGGCTCCGTCACAGTCCCGGCGACGCTGGACGAAGGGGGGGAGACGTTTGTCTGGTACCGGTTCGAGACCGCCGTCCCCGCCGCGAGCGGAATCAGGGCATTCTGCGTCCAGCTGACGACCCTATGACTATAGAGCTCGTGCGGCTTGTGAGGCGGCAGGGGGTCGTCCACCGGCAGCTCGAGATGGAACGTATCAGACTGGCGGTGAGGGGCAAGGAGAAGAGCGGGCATGTCGTATTCCGGGAACACACGCAGCTTCCGACGAACGGATGGAGCACGAGCTTCGACCTCGTGCTCGGGGGAGGAGTGGGGAAGGAAGTCAGAGTTGACTTTCTGAAAAACGCAAACGTGCCCGCGCGCGTATGATGTTGGGCTTGAGAGATGAGCATCTCCTCGCAGCACTGCCGCCAAGGACGAGTCGGAAAGCAATACGTTCGGCTAGGGAACCGAATTCATAAAGCTCCCCGAACCACCAATCTTTTGTGTCATGGTGTCGATGTCACTTTTGTTGAAAAGCGGCGGCGTAGCCTTTGCCCCAGTAGATCCCGACCACGCCCTCCAAATCGAACTATGGCGGAAAAGGCAGCAGAGAAGCTCGGGAGAGGGATATGTATGATGGCCTATCTCGCCCCTTCCGAATCGAAAGAGGTACGAAGCCAATGTTAAAAACGGCTGTTAATTACTATGGCGCTGAGCCAAGTGAGTTTGGAGCATCGAGATCATCTTTCGAAAATGTCGTGTTTCAAAGAAGGCAGGGATGGCAAGTATGGATTGAGGTACTATGAGCCTGGATTTGGCCATCCCTCGGAACATCTTGCTGCCCATCCCCTTGATCAAAAGTTACAGCCACACGGCGATACACGCCGTTCCCACGAGGACACCCAACAATCACAGCTTAGGAACAAGGAAAAGCCGATTAATCTGGTCACGATGTTGGGATAACTGCATTAGATAGACGAGGCGCTTGGCTGGCTTGGTCCAGTTGACCCTGATGATTAAGAGGATGATGTCCAATTCGTAGCTAGCTGCCGAATAGTCGATGGAGGGTTCCGGTGTGTAAGTAGTAGCCCTGGCGCAGGCTCACCCCCCCTCCCCCTTCCCCATCAAGAAGAATCGTACTAGGAAATGCAGCCAATGTCGTTGAAGAGTCTCTCGGCACACCAACTGGGTCCCAAGAAGAAAAGGCGTTGTGGGCGACTAGCACTTTTGGGAAAACAAACCTGGGGGTGACCACATTGGCGGTACCCTCTGGTCTGCTGCCCTTGGCGTTGAGGTGGGGTTGAATTGGGAATCTGGAGAGCATCCCTGTGGTGTTGCGTTAAGGCCGTGGAGTTGGCCGATACTTAGGCGAGATAAAGCCTTCAGGATGAAGGACTTGAGGCACGGCAGTTTGAATAGCTCTGATAGGCCGGGGCCACGCCATACCATACCACTCTCATACGACGACGGCCTGTCTGCGCCGCACATCTTACGCAGAGGTAGGAGGGCATCGTGTGCAGAAGAATAGCCTATGATATCTTGCGGTGGCGTGCGAAGACGCTGTAATATGGGATGGAAACTCTGTCCTCTGTCTGGAACTTGCTGGAAGGAAAGGAAGCGACTCTGGAAGTTGTGAACAGCCGGTGTCAGATATCGAAAAAGGGAAATGGAACAAGGCTCTCCCGGGGACGTTGACAGTGACATGTCAAATGCTGTGCTACAACCATCTGAAAGATGGATGCATTCATTACCTAGGTACCATTGGGAGCGAACGCTGGACGTGGTCATGCCTGCCACGGGGGGTTCCTCGTTGGTATCTGCCGCCGGAGCTAAATCCGGAGCAGGGAAGTCGAATGTTGGAGAGTTTCCATAACGTGTTCAGGGTGTAATGGGATACCTAGTTCAGGATAGTTGGTGCGATGACAGATGCCACACTGCCAGATTGGCAAGTGCATGAGAGTAGGTACCGGTAGCATGTTCGCGTTCGTGTCCTTTACATATGCATCTAGAGCAGGCAGGGCTCGAACCCCCTTGGCCGTTCGATTGGATCGTAACCCAACTCTCACATTGGCAATCGGGGGGGGTTCAAACTGCCCAGTGTGCGTAGGTGTAGTAGTATCACAGCGGAGATGAGACCGTGAGATGAGAGTAGCTCCTTGTTGAAATGGAAGTATAAATAGGCACTCAAAGCCAAAGAGGATTTTTCTTTTCTCATAAATAGCGGTTAAACTCGATATTAGCTTTAAAGCTACCCGGCTGGGGGTCTTGAAATCGAAGCTAAACGTGGCCTGCCTGCCTGCCTTCGTCCGGGGCCTCACGGACGTCCGTCCACTCCCGGTGTGAACACAATACCTACGGTACAGACACAGTCATCAATCGAACGCACCTGCCACGTTCTGGAGCACACCCCATTTGGCCTAGCGCTGAATCGTTTGGACCCTGGTGTGTTCCCTTTCGGAGGGGGAGGGGGGAGTTGGGGGTTGGCCAATAGGAAGCAAGCGAAAGTGTGGCAGGCATGGGGGAATAATCCGTGGTGGTCTGATTCTCAATCGATCCTGTCGTGCGCCCAAAGCCCATCATGCCACTTTCTGGGGTTGTTTGAAGTGCCCGCGAGGCCATCTTCAATTGTGTCGAACCACTATCGAGCTTTCAATCTGTAATCGCAGCTCGTCAGTTTCTGGATCCCCTCCCCCTCTCTTTTCCACGCCCTCTCTTTTTCACCCCCTCCCCTCGACTTGTAGTACTGATTGGCGGTTCCCCCCTCTTTCTTCTTTTCACTCTTCTCTCTTCATCGCCAGTCCAATCCCCTCTGTGTGTATCTACTGCAGCCACGGTCGCTGCGCTGCGCTGCACCCACTGTTCTGGTCCTGATCCGCCCTGGTCTGGCTGCATCTTCAGCGACCCTTACCTATTCCACCCATCATATTGTTATTTGAGTACTACCACATTCGGGCCCAACGTTTCCCCCCCTCGTTGTACACAAGGCCTCGGACG